CCTATAGCTCGTCTCGATCTCCTCGCAGTTCCCCAGTCATAGCCCTGCTCTGCCATCTCTTCAAAGAGTTGATTCAGCTGTGGCGCTGTTTTGGTGGGCATATTCCCGCCACAGACCGAGTCAATCAGCTGCTTGTCCTCCGGGAAGAGGTCATGGTAGAAGGTGCCCAAAACCATGGTTGGGACACTTGAGAAAGAGACTGGTGTATCTCTCCCAAGCATCCCGAATGGTCTCATCTTCGTCTTGAGCAAAGTGGGTAATTTGCTTCTACAGGTCCGCCGTCTTGGACGGAGGATGGTAGCGAATGAGGAACTTGTCTGCCAGGTTGGCGAACGTGGTGATCGATCCAGGGGGCCTGGTTTCCAGCCACTCCTTGGCCTGCCCCTCCAAAGTGAATGGGAAGTACCTCAGCTGGATGGCATCGGCTGGGACCCCATTTATCTTGATTCCATCGATGAGCTCGTGGAATCGCCTCAGATGTGATCAGGGCATAGTGAATGGGAAATACTACCGAGCTGCGCAACATAGTGATGAACGAGGTTCTCACCTCAAAGTTGTTGGCTGGGACATGAGGGTGCTGAATGGGCGACCTCATGTCCGCGGCTCTGGCGGTCCAGTAGTACCCCATGGTCTGTTTCTTGGGAATGACCACATCATTGTTCTGTGGGTCACCCATCTCTTCTTCATCGACGATTTGCAGCTATGCTAGTGCCTCCTCCGCAGCCAATCGCGCCTTTAGAGCCTGCTTGAAGTTCCTATAGGTTCGTTCAATCTCCTGGTCTAATGGTAGTAAATCTCCCGACTGGCTACAGGTCATGCACTACCTGCACACAATCAGCAAAAGCAACCCGTGAAGGCACATACGTGGAAGAGAGAAAATGCAGTAAAGAAAAAGATATAGTAACAAACTTTCACGTTTCCCCAATAACTTAGAGGGTTCCCGGCAACGGCGCCAAAAACTTGACACGCTAAAACACAACACCAAACTGCTACCAACTGTAATCGCAGTCCAGAAATGCATTAATAGGCAAGCTTTAATTGTCAACCCGGGGTCTAGATCTACTGCCTACTCCGTGTATATCTGTTATCTAGCAAACTAAGTTGAGTGATTGTGATTTTAACTAAAAGCAGTAAGAAAGCCGGAAATGGTTCGGTTTTCTAAAGCAACGGAAGAGTTACTCGGGAATGAGTCCCCCTAGCTACTTAGTTAGGTCACAGTTGTAATTACTTTTGGTTGCTTTACTGCTGATTATACTGCGGAAGATCCGACAGTAGCTTGGAATCTCTTAAATTGACCAAGCCCTCTCAGTCAAACTACCCGGCAGACGACTACTCTTCACTGAGATAGAACGCCGAGGCAATGAACACAGAACTCCACTACTGGAATTAGATTCCAGTACAAAGCAGTGAATCGACTAACTCTCGTATAATAGATTCACTACTACCAATTGAAGAAGCTCTAACAACCTAATCAGATTCTATCAATTGACTCAATCAAAACACTTCAATCGATTATAATTGAGCAATATCACAATCCAAACGTAATTACAATCAAGATTCCTAACACATGGAATTAGGGTTCTTCATACCCAAGTGAGAGAAAGTTCTACTGCATAGAGAGAGAGAGAGGGAAACAGAATACAAAGCAGTCATACTCATAACAATGGGAAGAATCTGCTCTGGGATGTCAATCTTCACTCCTGGGGATGCAATATGGGCTTCAATGGTGAGAAATCCACTCCAAATAGCTTCTAGGGTTTGTTCTTCGCACTTTCTCTCTCTAAAACTCTGTTTTGCTCCAAAAAGTCGACTACCTCTCCTTTGGCTTGAATCTGCCTCAAAAACCCGATTCTGGGCGAATTACGGGCTGAATTACGGTCGTAATCATGGTCTGCCCGTAAATCGCCCAAAACGCGCGTTTCACTTAACTCAGAAGAAAGGATTTACGGTTGTAATTACCCAATAACTGCCAGTAATTATGGAATTACGACCGTAGTTACTTTGACTCTTGCCCGTAATTGTCTCTGCGACAGGAGTTCTGAAGAATTAGGCTCGGCATTGCATTTACGGGCATGCCAGGAGCAATTACGCTCGTAAATGGGCAGGGGCTGCCCGTAATTTGCTCTTTGAATCGCCACCTGACCTCCAAATGACCCGAAACTTGTGCCTATACACCTCTTTACTTGCTAGGACCTGAAATACGATAAAGCAACACAACTAGCATAAAATAGGCCAAGGAACAACAAATTCGTGCTAAAATGGTCAGGAAACAAGGGTAAAAACATGTGCAAATACGACGCTAACACACGCCGTGCACATTTTGTCATAACAGGCATCTGGGTATGACAAAATGTTTTGTCAAAGTACAGTAATGCTTTGTCACAATATGTTATTAATTTTTGTCACGATAGTTACCACTTTTGCTACGTTGTTGTGGCAAATATATAGTTTATCATAGCAAACCTATATTGACAAAGCCATGTGACTGTCATAATATTCAAACTCAGACTCCACCTGACATTTGTCCTGATGAAACTTGTTTGTCATAACCTGATTCATATATGACAACTTGTGGGCATTATTATGACAACCTATTTTCCAAATATGATGCTATTCATACCATAAAGAAAACGGTACATCATTCAAATGTATCAAAAGCTACATCATTCATTACCGAATCAAAAACTACATCATTCATAGTTACAATCTGTTCCAAAAACCTATTGATCCATCCATCCAGACACCTAAACAAAGTCTTCCAAAGCGACATAGGTTCGTCTTTCAAAAGAGAGTACTAAATAACAAAAGCTAACAGACTTCCAAAGGTACTAATACTCATGATGATGTGATCCTTGAGCATCCAAAATGCATACCTACTGCCATATACCTTGGTACCTGCGTAATACAACGATCAAAGTTTGAGTAAAACTTATGAAATAAAATTCAATTAAGTAGTAACACCGATGACAGTATAAGTACAACTTATGAGACTATAATTTTACCTTCAGCTAAACTTGTCTTCCATCAATTTTTGCAGCTAGTGACATGACATATTTAGTTAGGGTCTCCTGTGATTCTTGCAACCCTTTGATAATACCGTTCTGACTGTGTATCTTCTGTTGCTGGTTTTCTATCTGCTCCTGTTGTGCATGAATCTAGTCCTCAAATTCTTTCCACTGCCTCTCCCCTGTAGCAAGTGTCTCCTCTAGTTGTGCCTCCAGTTCTTTCTCTCTTTGGGAACTCGAGCTGACTTTTCTGGTATCGCTGGGTGCTTTTTCCAGTACCATAAGAACAATCTCAGCACCGGATAATATTTTCCCTTCTGCCACTGCTTCAGCATGGATTCTATTCATTTCCTCCTATGAACACAACAGTGGAGTCAGAGTACTTGCTAGGTCCTCTAACATCCAAGTAGTAGCTAGGTTTGCTAACAACCAAGTTCATTCACTTACATGACTAACATAGCAACAATCAGACCCTATATATGTCACACATCCAAGTACTAGAACCATCCCCTAATTAAAGAAAGGAAGAAACACAGCCGGTTGTGTTCATTTACATAGTTTTTTTGAGGTTTCTCATTGACCCAAGTCCCATTTTTTCTCTTATGTGTATTTGCATAAACTCTTATTTCCTTGGGCTCTACCTCACCTTCATCAGATTTATTATCATTGTTCTCTGTATCTGCCTCATTGCTTGCTTCATCGGTTATTTCCTAATAACAGTCCAGATTATAGAATGTTAGTAAGGTCCATTCTAGTATTGGCAGTATAATGGAGGAGAAACCTTACCATTACCTTCGTTAATTAGCAACACTTTGCCTCTGCATCAGCGTATAAGACAACATTCATTAGCACCTTATCCATATCTAACCTAGGATAACAGAACTGCCTAATTAAATGCGTATCAGACTCAATCTATTCTTCAAGGCAGATGGCTTACCTTGAACCTATCAGACTCAAAATGCTCACACAGCTTTATCCACTCCTCCATCTTCACATTTTCAGGAGGGGTCTGTCTAGCATCGGCTCCTAACGCCAGATAATGCTTATGATAATCATACTTGAAGTTAATGAACCTCTTAGAAAGTGAATAATCCACAGCCAACCTCATAGTCTCATTAGTCATTGAGATATCAAACTCACTCTGCAGTCGTGAAAGTATGTTAGTGTGTAAAAAGTGAAGATACTGACCACAAGCATGCAAATATAGGTATATGATTTGTTTTACCACTAATTTGGCAAAAAGTGGTTGCTTTAGCTCCTCAGTCACATCTGACCAATAGAACATACCAATGGGAGCCATGAGTTTACATATAACTCCTATCTCCATCTTAAAGATCCTCTCATTACGACCAACAACTTTTTTTGCTCCCCTAGCAACTACAAGCCCTGAAATCTTACTACCATCTCGTGTCATCTTAGCTACCTCCAGCCCTTTAGCCTTTCCACGTTTTTTTCTTATGTGGTGGACCTAGTTATGTAGTTATCAATACCAGGTTACACAAGTGCAATCCCTTGTAAACAAATCAGATTACATACAGAGACCAAAGTCATGGAGAAAACTTACTTGGTGGATTGGGAGCAGAGGGGGCAGTCTCAGTAATGTTTGTTTCCTCACCACGTATCCCATTGCTTCTTTCCTTAGCATTCATCACATTCACCTCAAGGTTCAAACTTTGAGCTGACAATGAGCCATCTGCTGGTGTGGTGGAGTGCAACTGGGCTGTACTTCTGGTCGTTCTACTTGTTGCTGCTGAGCGTCTAGCATCTGCCTTCTTTCTTAGTCGACCACCACCACTTGGACCAGGAGCCATACCTGAAATAAGATGTTGATGAACTAACTAGAACAACAAGAAGAAACCATCAATAAAGAAAATAAAAGAAATTGTTCGAACACCATAAGAAATCGTTCTGTAAATATTTATTTGAATCATGTATATCTCATTCTGTACGTGTATGACAAGTAAATTTTCGAACAACAAAAGAAACCATGAATAGAGAAATGTGACTTATATATTTCAAAACTGGACTTAGTTATCATCTTCCATGTCATCCTCTGCCTCCTTCCCTTCCTCGTCCTCGTCCTCTTCCATGTCATCCTCTGCCTCATTCCCCTCATCATCCTCGTCTTCCTCCTCGTCTTCCTCCTCCATCTCCTCTTCAGAATCTCCACTTACATCCAAGTCCAATGCTGGTGGGATTAGATTGTCTCTTTGGAGCAAGTTTTCCATATGTAAAATCTGGACTTGGCTTAGAGTAATTGGGGCCTCATCCGGCAAACTTAAAAGTTGGATGTCTCCATCATCCGATTCAACTGGAGCTATGTCGATGCCTTCATCTAGTTGGAATGGATCATCATCATATACCGGATCTGTGCTATCATCTGATTCCATCTCAGGAACATCATACACATGCCTATGAGACACTTTTTGAACTATACGCCAATTCCAACCATTTTTCATATCTTCAGTGTAAAATACCTGATTGGCCTGACTAGCTAATATATATGGATCATGTTCATACCATTTTCGTCCTATATTGACACTAGTCACAAAGCGATCTGACCTTATGTCGTTTCTATTATCTCCTACATCCCACCAATCACATTTGAAGACAAAGACATGGCAGCCATAGCAATACTGCGACTTTAAAATATCCACCAGCACACCATAAAAGTCAATCTCACATCTGGACCAAGACCTAGACTATAAAGAGAATCATTTTTTCCAAGTTCTCCAACCAAGAACAGTCTCGTGACCTATACCATAACACAAACCAACACGCAAGTTAATATTAGGAGTTTTCAAAGTATACAGAAACATGAGGAATCTATCTCCTATAAAGATGGAAGCAGATCTTACATATGATTTCAACCATTTTGGAAAGTTTTCTTCAATGGTATGAAAACTAATATTAGGAGTTTTGGCCATGCTCTCCTCTGAAAAGATACTGCACCAAGCTGCAAAGTCAGAATTTATTTGTTTTGTCTTATAATTAAACATGTACTTTAAGATTGTTTTTTCCACTTGAAATACTTTTCAACCTCTTCATAGTTGTTCGATATGTATCTTTCAATCTTATTGAAGTCAGATGGGGCTAGAGTCACATAAGTTGCCCCTCCTAATTGTTTAGTCTTGTGTGCAAAAATAGAAATACAAGTAGAATCCATTACTTGACACCCTTCATCGTTTCTCTCCAGACGGGTTGTTCGTGTCTCAACCCCATGTAAGTATCTACCGCAAAAATCTTTACATTCCTTTGCTACATATTTTCAGCAATGGACCCCTCGGGACGAGCTCTATTTCTAACAAGATTTTTCAGAGAGCCTAAAAACCTATAAATATGCCAAGACAGAAAACCATAATTTTTTTTCATCTATATCAGTTCAAATAGAAAACTGAATCAAACGAGAACTACTTAGTACTAATTAAGTACCTTTCCATGGGATACATCCACCTATACTGAACCGGCCACCAAGCTCGAGTTCACGGGGTAGATGAATGGCTAGATGCATCATGACGACAAAGAAAGATGATGGATATACCATCTCAAGCTTACAAAGTACGAGAACTATGTTCGTTTGCGTCTTTTTCAGTGTAGCCTTTGTTATGGTTTTAGCACACAAATCTTGAAAAAATAGACTTAACTCTGACAGAATTACAAAGACCTCTTTCTTCAACAACCCTTGTCCCACAGCTGGTAAGAGTCATTGTAAGAAGACATGATGGTCGTGGCTTTTCATTCCAGAAATAGATTTCCCATCACTGGTGACACATCGAGAGATAATGGACGCATAAGCATCCTGAAACCAAATTTCAAACGAAGGGAGTCTGTCTCAATATTGCAAACAGGACGTGCTAGTTTTCCGTTAGTACCCCAACCACACAACATTCCATAAGCAGGAAAATCATTTATGGTCCATAACAAGGCAGCATGTAATTGAAAAGTTTGTTGAGAATATGCATCATAAGCTGTCACCCCATCCGTCCATAATTCTTGTAAAGCTTCTATTACTGGTTCTAAATACACATGAATGTTATCACCTGGAGATTTCTTTCCAGGTATTAGCACACTTAGAAACAGAAAAGACTCCTTCATACATAACCATGGAGGTAAATTGTAAGGGGTTAACACAACCGGCCACATGCTATAACTAGAACTGAAGTTCCCAAATGGGTTAAAACCATCACTAAGAAGTGCAAGCCGCACATTTCTAGGATCGGCAGCAAACCAACTATGGTCCCTATCAAAAAAATTCCATGTTTCTGCATCCGTTGGATGCCTAAGCACATCGTCATTAATTCATTTTTCTTTGTGCCACCTCATGTCCTTGGAAATGTCCTTTGTCATGAACAGCCTAAGTAGCCTATCCTTTATAGGGAAATACCTAGTTGTTTTAATGGGAATATCCTTCCCTTTTCCTGGTTTATACCTAGATTTCTTACACTTGAGACACGTCTTTTCATTCTGGAAAGGACCTCGGAATAAGACACAGTTGTTAGGACATGCATCTATAATGGTATAACCAAACCCGAGGTCATGAATTTACCTCTTCATCTCATAATACGAATTAGGGAGATTCTCTCCATTTGGTAAAGCTTCCTTGATTAGATCCAAATTGAGCTTAAATGCTTTGTCGCTACTATTGGTTAACATTTTGTTATTCTTTATTTTCATAATGAAGGATAACTTTGAAAATTTCTTACACCCAGGATAAAGAGGAGAGTTAGCATCTTTTAGTAGTTTAGCTAAGGCTGGATCCAGATTCACTCCCCCAAAACCCTTATTCATAGATTCAAAACCTAATGTACCAAACCTAGCAGCATTAGCTCGGCTCAAATCATTCAACATAGAAGGCATTTCAATGTCAAAACCATGCATATCATTATGACCAGTGTCCTCTAAATTATCAGTTGTCCCGCTACCACCAATATCAGAGTCCTCTCCATGATATATCAACAAACTGTAATCCTCTACCATCCCATTGAGGAACAAGTCAGCTTTCACAATATCTATTGTTTTAAAACAACAATTGTTGCATTTTTTGCACAGACACCTAATTCTACCACTACCATCAGCACATGCTTTGGCAACCCCTAGAAAGTACTCAAAACCCTTCACATAATTAGCAGAAAATCGATTCTTGTGCTTCAACCAACCCCTATCCATTTATTCTGTGTGCAAAAATTAGGCTAACCTATTACTTGGTATGATTCTTGGATCACAAAATGCAGGTTGACCTTATAACTTCACTTGAGCAAGCACTTGCAAAATGAAAATATGAGAATAAATCTCAAATGTTCCCCTAAGGATGTCGAAATAGCAATAGCAAAGCAATCACAACACCGAAGCCATCAAACCTTCTCTAACAGGGTCGACACAGTGAACAGAACCAAGCATACCAGAACCATAACAACAAGATCCACAAAGTAGAAACCGACAGCTTACAACAACGTCCACAAAACACAAACCAGATAACTCAGCATCCCTACGCAGCTTACAGAAATCAAAGAACTACTGATAACTCAGAGAATAGTGTTCTTAGATCATTACAATCGTCTTAACGAAACGATAAACCCCAAAAAACCCTTAGGTTGCAATTGAATCCAGAAACTAAATTTCCTATCTCTGAGTTACGCATGCAAGAGCACATGTAGGGATTCCATTTATCAAAATCAACCAAATCCCCCACAAAATCGTCTTACAATTGGCAAACACCTAAACTCCCCCAAAAAATCCCCAACGAAAGCTTCTCTCAATCGGCTGAAAACGATGCGACAGAAGTGGAAGAGGGTGATCGAAGAGAGTATAGTCGTCTTACTCGATTATGAAGCGATGCGCTTGCTCGCTGCTGCGGGGAGGATTCGATGCGACAGTGAAGACAGGCTGGTTTCAATTGACAGAGGGTTTTTTGAGCGGCGGGTTTCAATTTTTGGGGAAAAATTTGGGAATGGATCTGGTTTTGGAGCGCTGGAGGGAATTAGTTCTCGCGCCCTATTTCCTCTCTCTCTCACTGACTTTCATTATCTGAACATAAAATGGAAAAGAATAAAAGCACCCCTGTTTTGACTAATCAAACTTTGTCACATTACCAAAATTATGTTACTTAAAATAAAGTGCGAGAACAATATTGTGACAAACTTATAATGACATACACAATTTGTCATAATAAATATGTAATATGACAAAATATTATGACATCATATAAATTCGTCACAATATGGGTCTAATATGACGAATTATTATGACAAAATATTTCTTTGTCAAAAAAATACAACTAATATGACAAATTTTGGTTCTGCCATATTATAGGTTCTATTGTGACAAACCTAAAATGAAAAATTAAAATTTCGTCAGGACATCCAAAAATTGTTGTAGTCAATTAACTAAAACGCTGTAGCAACTACTTCAGGAAAGAAATGCGAGAGAACGTGCGAGGCCAAAAGTAAAGCTCAAGTGAGCTCTACAACATGACGTTTCTTGTGCTCTACCAACCCATTTTGTTGAGAGACCTCAAGATGTGATTTTTTACAAAGGATGCAGAGCGATTTATACATATCAAGCAACAATGGGTGAGAACTAAATTCACCACTTGGATCAGAACGAATAATTTTTACGCGCGCCCAAATTGAGACGAAATCATGGTTAAAAATTCTTTGGCAACCGATAATAAATATCATTTAAAAGCGGAGGAAATAAGCCCATCTAAATCGAGTTGCATGGTCAATAAACAGGGCAAAATAGCAAAAACCATGTCAAGAAACAACAAGAGAGGGTCCTCGGATATTCATATGAACAATAGCAAAGGGTTCAGAAATAACAGTAGTGCGCGATTGAAAAGCGTTGCTCGTTGTTTTTGCATCAACATAACTAGGTCCATGATGCTGGGGCAAACGAATACTAGTATGACTACCACGATTTTTTTTTTTTATATTTAAAAGATGAGACGAGACGCTCGACATAGACCGTTGTAAGTGGTTGGGCAGGTGGTTGTGCAACAGGAAGCTTCTGAGCACGAGGTGGAGAAGGTACATACTCAACTACCGGAGCTGCATAGGCAGGCTGGACCATGGGATGCTGGCCAGGCGGCAATGTTTTTTGCAAATGGCTCTTTATCTCGGCAATGATGGCATTAAAGCTCTACCACGACAATGAGTTGCTGATATTAGTTTACACTACCAAATAAAGAAGATTTGAGGACCAATATAAGGGACGGTTCTTTTATCTTGTCTTAGAAAATAGATTTTTAAGTGTTATTAGGGACAAGCATATTAAATTGTCTTCATAGAATAAGGAATGTAGTTTTATTAATTTCTAATTTAATTTAGTTGTCCCCAGAAAAAAGGTACCACGGAAATATTAAATTTAGGTGGTGGGTTTTTAAGCCGCTGATTAATATTTGATTGTTTTTGTCCCCAAAAGTAGGAAAGGCTTGCGTATAGGAGTTCAAGTGATTATTTGGATTTTTTTCCTTTTAAAATCTTGGAGTTAATTCCTTTTAAATATCAATTGGTACGATAGTAGTTTTTATGTATTTAATAGTTAACAATTACTTATTTGTACTATTGATATTTACTCTATATTTATAAGGGACGATTTTCCCTATTTCCGGGGACGACTTTTGTCGTCCCCAAATCTCCATTTTTTTGTAGTGTTAGTTTGGCCCTGCAGTAGCTTTTGCAGAAGCAGCTTCTGGCTGCAGCTTTTAGATAAGTACTTTTCAAAAAAAGCAGTTTAGTGTTTGGCTGTAAAACTATTAGAAGTGCTTTTTAATTGTGTAAAATGACTATAAAAAGCAGTAAAAATGGATCTTGTTAGATTTCTTTTATATTAAATAATGGATCTTGAAGTCAAAAAATACTTCTAAAAGCCGGGCCAAACATATGCATTGTGTTCTCTCAACAACAAACACGACAACCATTGATTCCTTAGAAGTAGCAGCAACAAGGATGGATTAGCCCTCACCAAGACGAATGACAAGCTGGGATTGGGTACGGAGACGTGTCTTCTCTCGAAGCAGTTGGCCGAGCACTCCATCAAATGGAAGGTTTTAATGATTAAGCAGGCTGGACCGAACGAATTTAAAAGCCGGATTAAGGCGGCTCAAAATCTGCAGAAGACGGTTCTGTTGACGATCTGGTAGCACCTCTGCCAAGGCCTCTTTGGAGAGGAGCGATATGTGGGCTAGGGTGACGTCCCGATCACCCTAATCTATCCCATGCCATCAATCATATGTGGTCTAGGGTAAGTCTGCGTTACCATGCAAGACTCGCGTGGGCTCACTATGGTTCAAGTCCACTAAACATAATGATACATACAAAATACATGGGCTGCCTGATAATGATCGTCTAACATGAATAGGGGCCAACTTGCGTAAATATTAATAACCAATTTTGATCTTTTAGGAACCAATTTGTTTGGCTGGAAAAATCCGTTTTTCTCTTGTAGTGGTTGGGATAATTTTAATCGGTGGTGTTAATAATCCTGGTTAAGAAACACTGAAATATATGGGTTGGTAAGAAGAAGCTAAGTCATACAAAGAAAAACTAAAAATGATCCCAACCAAAAAGAAATTAAGAATTTTACTACGAAAGGAATTGTTCATCCACGTTGGTTTAATTTACGTACAGTTATTGATAAACACATGTATATATATATTATTAATAGTCTGGATCGGATATAACAATTAATTCCTGGTAGATAGATTAACAATCACGTTGTTTTGATTTACACACACTTATTGATAAACACGTACACATATGAATGTGGTAATGGAGAATTGGGGGGTTTAGGTGTTTGTGCAATCTGTAGGCTTGAAAGATAGAGTTTGCTTTGGAAGGTCATATCCAATGAGAAAGTTTTGTTGAGCAACGTTTCCATAGATGCTGAGTTGGTCGTTGGCGTAGAAAGCCAAACAAACCACTTTATCGTTGACCTGAATGAAAATGTTGTCGGAAGTGAGCAGGACATCGGCTCCCTTGAAATGCGCTGTGACGGGAGGAAGTTTGAGACTGGAGTCTGGCACGTAGCAGAGGCTGAAAAAGCCTTCGGGGTCGCTGGTTTTGGTGCCGCCGGTGACCTGAGTCTCGACGGCATCAGAGAGCTGGGAGAAGAAATCAGTAGGCACAAGGGTCAAAGTCGTCCCTGAATCAATGATAATGTTGCCAGAGCCTCCAATGGAGGAGCCTTGGAAGGCAATCTTTTTGCTCCCAACGCTAACGGCTTCAAGTTGAAGGAAGTAAAATGTGGGTTGGGATGGATCCGAAATCAAGGGGGTGGAAAGGACACCATTTCCTGAAACCACGGCGTTGGTGCCAAAGTTCATCGTACTGGTCGGCTTGGCAGCTGCGTAGGGGACCATGCAGTAGGAGAATTTCCCGCCAATGGATGAACCGAGTTGGCTGACAAGGGATGCAGGTCCTCCTCCAAGACCAACGATGCCAGAGCCTTTGGGGCTAAATGTTCCTGCATTGTCATGCCCGCAGCCAATCACAGTTTTCGGAAGGGCCACAGGGTTGCCAGTCTTGGACTCCAAAGTCAGTGTTTCAGCTGCTACATCTCCTTGGGTGTGAGATTGGTCCCCATAACTCACCTGGTACTCGCAAACACTGCCGTCGGAGGAGCAAGAGCTTCCTTCACTCTGGAGCGAATTACAAGCGTTGGATGAACATGACACTGTTCTATAACTACTCGACGACTTGGGGTCAAATAAGGGCGCATCCTGCTTGTAGCAATCGGTGCAAGGCTTACATTGTGTCCATATAATGTCGCTGCCAGTGTCAGCAATCGCAACGATCGGAAATGGTGGCGTACCAAGGGAGATGTTCACCAGGTATTCGCCATTGTTGGCCGTCAACTGAGCATCAGGATCCGAAGGGTCCGAAATAGACCTCGAACTGTTAAGGTGAAGCATGTGACTGAAACGATGCACTCGCCCAATGGATCGCCTACCCGCATTCCCAACGCGCCGAGCTGGCGTTTCCTTGGGATTATACAAAGGCGAACCTTCCGAATCGCGATGGACCAGATTGATACTAAATCCACCGCTCTGCGCATCCACAAATGCGGAGATAATTATACAACAAAAAGTAGCTAGTGCAAGTGTGATCGGGAAAGACATGGTTGGTTTTGGCTCCATGATGTATGTCAAGATTGAGAGATGATTGATGAGTGGAATTAATGGATCACAAATGCATTCTATATATAGTGTCTTCTTCAAATCAATTATATTATGCTGCTTGTCATTATATACATATATTCTTTTTTCATTAATTGATTGATGCCTAGTTTGTCACACTCATTTCCCCCTGACAAGAGGCCGCACAGGCGTTGATGAGTCGCATTGGCCAAAATATTAGCTTCATATATAATTAGAGTTGAGTTCACATTTGCTTGAAATAAACTACTTTAATTAACTTTGGACTCTAGGTTGATGTCCATTTTTTCATTCTCTATTATGCATGTCCTATACTTCTTCACAGCTTTTCGTTCAACACTATATATGTTTCTATGTGCTAACGATGCACTCAAGTTCCTGGCCACTCCAAATTATCGATTAAACATACAGTGACTTCATTTTTCCGGTAAACTACAGAGCTTAAGTTATTAGTTAATTTATTAATAGCGCAAGTTAGCTCTTAATTGGTTTTCTGTTCCTTACGAAATTTTAGCCATCTCTAATTTTAGTAAGTAATCATGGATTCCGGATTACTGTTCGCCTATGTATATGCTGAGCTGTGGCGGCTAGGAGTGTTCAAACAGATTGGTTACCGTCGTAACCATATTAACCAGTAGCATTCGGTTAATTTGGAAAATTGGTTTGGTTAAACAATTTAGCTTATTTGGTTTAGGTGGTTTGGTTTAGGCGCAGGTTTCACAGGTTGCAAGATGATCCCTTTCATTGGTCACACTTGACCTTTGTTAGGAGT